CGTCCTGCAGTGTCGCAAGGGTGAAAAATGAAACGACAGTTTAGGATGCCACATCACTCCGAGCAGCATGCTTTTATAAAGAAGTTTCATGTAATTGCCAGGCCCTCGCAGCTGAACAACCCTTGAAACGTACTGTGTGTTCACACGAACCTAGTGAGGAGAAACACCACGTTCTCCTGTTCCCATTAAGTGCTCTCCTCACTGCAGACCTCAAGGCCGTAACGCTGTAAGGACGCAGGCTGTGCTGCTGGAAGAGGACTGCTGCCCAGGGGAAGGCAGCAGAAAGCAAGGCCTGCTCTCCTCGCTTGGGCTGTCTGTGGCTCATCCTGAGGCCCGCTGTCAGGCAGCAGGGTCAGAGAGCAGGGCTGCTTGGGCAGGGAGCTTGGGCAGCTGGGGAGCCTGCAGGCAGCGCAGCCTGAGCACACGCTGGGGAGCTCACAGGGCCCTCCCTGAGAAGGCAGGACCTGCCATCAGCAAACAAACCACCTGCCCCAAAGGTGCTTCACCAGCTCCACAAGGTCAGGATAAAAGCAATCCCTGAGATTTCTAGCAGATTTACGGGGGCAACCTATGGAAACAAAGAGCATCTGCCACGCCACCAAGTAAACAAGACGGGACAAAATAAAATCAGATAGCAACTTCATTGGATTTCCTTACTTAGTTTTGGAAACGTGCATCCTCCAAAATAGCAACCCAGAAGCTTCCATTCGTTTTACTCTCTTGCGCTTTGCAACACGCTTTGCTTTGTGGTACTTTCACAGAGTTTGGGAGCAACATAGAAGACAGCACTGTATTTAGAAGAAATTTCAGCCCTCTAGGGTTTAGGAAGTTAGCGAGCCTCATCTAAATTGTAAATGAAATCAACAAGAAGTGGTGGAACGCTCCTCCACCCACACTATCCCCAAGACAGCCTTGAAAACAGATGAATGCAGAGATGAAAACCATAGAAGAGATTATAAGCAAATAAATAAAAGGTAAATGGCAAACAGATGGAGGTCTGTGTTACTATTAGAACCATATCCATAGATGACCCCAGTTCTGCTATCTTTAAACTCTTACCTTTCTGAAAAAAGCTGTCTAGATATCACCATACTGAAAACAACCGAGAGCCGTATGTCCTACAGCTGCAACCACTGCTGTGGGAGCAAGCTGGGATGGGCTGACAGCACAAACACAGCGACGTTTTGTTTTGTTTTTTACATTTGGCTCTGGTTATTAGTACAACTTCTGCCTTCAGCAGGGGCTCAGAAATTTTAAACACGGAACACAGGACAGTTACAAACGCAAACACCAGCCAGCAAATAAACAGATACCACCACCTGGGAGCACAACACAAAGAGTTCAGCTGAATGCTCACAGGAGCTCTCCCGATGTCTCACCTCACCCCATTAATGGGCTCAGGGTCATTATTTTCCAGCGCAGCTGTTCCAGTGGAAGGCAAAACTCCCTACACAGAGCAGCAGCACAGCTAAGTAAGTATCCTTCCCTTGGCTGGATCTGCAAGTCCCTTCACAAGGACAAACACAGGAATGCCGCACGACGCGGCCCCTCACTACGCTGTGTGCACCAGACCCTCCTGGCTCCTGCAGGGACAGTGAGCTTCTTCACAAACATTAAGAAGGGTTCAACCAAGACCAGTCAAGGCTTAAAATGGTTCCGAAATTTAAACCGCCAAATAAACATGCAGACAGATGGTAAAAACCCAACAGACAGCGAACAGAGCTCTGTTATCACTGTGGGACGAGTCAAACTGAAGAATTTTTCAAACACATTTTTGTCCCCCTCACCCCAAAACTTTCCTTCAGAGAGAAACCTAAGAGTTCACATTAGACTCGTGAAAGGAGTGCGGCGGATCTGAACGCAGCCGTTCCTTTTAGATGCACTCTTTGACCCCATCTCTGCCCCACGTCTCTCCCACACGCAGGTCCCACTTTCAGCAGAGCCGCAGCCACCGCCGAGACCTCAGCACTGTGAGGAGGGGCCGGCACCGCGCCCTGCACCCTGCATTGCGACCGCGGCCACGGAGCCCAGCTGGGCCGGGCCCGCCCTGCTGGATGTTGGGTTTGTTCTGAGCAGCAGCCCCCTAAAAGGTATCCCACCAGTTACACGCTGACGAGCAACCCGTGCTTCAAAAGAAGAAGAAGAAATTATCACACACAGAGGAGCGGTACCCCCAGATCCCAGGCGGCGCCGATGGAAGCCGCACACAGCCCTGCGCTGAGGCTCCGTCCCGCAGCCCCGCTCAGCTCACAGCAGCCCTGTGCGCCGGGCCAGGACCACGCGCAGAGACACCTATTGCAAAAGTACTTCTAACCGCTCAAACGCCAACTTTATTTCAGCACGACAGGCGCAGCAGCGTAAGGATGAAAAGCAGAAGGACGCTGGAGGGCAGAACGGGCAGAGATGCCCCAGAGGTCGGCAGAGGGCTGGAACGTGCACATTTCTCCGCGTCAGCCCAGGCCGCTGCCAACGCAGCCGGAGGGACGCCGGTCAGCCATCGGCCTCTACGGCCCGCTTTCCGGAGGTCTCAAAAGCAGACGGGCCAAGAGGGCAGCGACGAACCCGCCCTGCCGGACCGCAGCGGCCGCTCCTCCAGCCCCATCAGCCCGGCGGGTCGGGGCACGAAGGGAGCGCAGGGAAGCAGCGCGGGAGTGCAGCCCGGGGCAGGGAGCGGGGAGCGGCTGCGTGCGGCGGCCACGAAGGCTCCCAATTCCGCGCCGCCGCGCTCACGCGGCCCGACCCGAGGCCTCTCCCGGCCACCCGGAGGAACGGCGGACGGGAAGCGCCGCGCGCCGAGCCCTGCGCTCCGCGGACGCGCGGAGCAGAACAGCCCCCGTCCCACGCTGCGCGCGGCCCCCGGGTCCCCCGGCCGGGCCGCGTCACCCAGCCGCCCTCGCGCCGGGCCGGGCCCCGCAGGGGCCGCACTGCGTTTGGAAGCGCGGTCGAAGCTCCGCTCGGGGCCGCGGAGCCCTTCGACCGCGGCCGCCTCTCCGCCCCGCCGCGCCAGCAGCCGCGGCCCCGCACGGCCCGGCCCCGTCCCACCCCCAGCTCGCCGCAGAAAATGCAAGTCAGCGGCGGCTCCGCAGCGCCCGACGCCGCTCAAAAGTTTCGGGGGAGGCGCCGGGCCGGGAGCCGAGGGCGGCGGCCGGGAGCGGGGCGGGCCGGGCCCCGTGCAGCCGGCACAGCGCGGCACTGCATGGAGCGGCACGGCGCGGCTCACCTCCTTCTGGCGCGGGTCCTGCGGATAGACGTCGGGCGGCCCCAGGCGCGGCCGCTTGAGCGGTCTCTGCTCATAGCTGAGAAGCCCGAAGGCGGCCATGATCGCTCATGTTCGCCGCGCGGCGGGCGGGCGCTGGAGCGGGCTCCGAGCGGCAGGGAGCAGCACTCGGCGCTCGCCCCCCGCCTCAGCCCCCGCCGCGCCGGGGGTTGGGCTGCGCGCCGCCGCCGAGGCCGGGCGCGGGGCGGGGGCGGCTCCGCTCCGCGCGCCTCGCGCCGGGCACGCCGCCCTGCGGAGCCGGCCGTGACACCGCCCCGGCCCTCCCGCGGCCCCGGGTGAGCGCTCCCGTGCCCCGGCCCGGCGTGCTCGCTCGCGGTGTCGCTCTCCCATTCGCGACACCGTTAATTTTAGCGAGCGAATAATTCGCCCAGGACGATCGATCGATCGCTCCTGGCTCCCGGCCGGCAGCACGCGCCCGGCCCTGCGGCTCCCCGCGCTGCCCCGTCGCCTCCCCGGGAGGAGATCGGGCCCCGCCCCCGGCCGGGCATTGCGGCGGCACCCGGCGTGCGGCCCCGGCACGCGCTGGCCCGGCCCGGCCCGGCCCCGCGGCTGCAGCACGCGCTGTGCCTCCTGCGGGCGGAGCGGCGCGCGGCTCGGCGCTGCCCAGGGCTCCCGCTGCCCCAGGGCCGGGCGGTGAGAAGGATGCCGGCAGAGCCGTTGGTGCCGGTTAACATCTCCGGAATAAAAGCGGCTGCAGCTTCAGCCTTAGGCTCCCTCCGTGCCCCAGAGACGCTTACCTCCCTCCCTGAAGCAGGACTGCGGCCTCTGTCCCAGCTTGCAGCGTGTCCTGCAGCACAGAGGCATCCTCCTCTCCCAGCTCAGGGCCCATCTTCCAATCCGCTGCGCTGACAGCTGCATTACTGCATCAGCACTGTAAAAGCACGGAAACTATTTTTCCCCTTTCTATCCCCTGCTTTTACCAGATCCTCTCCTCGTGCTGCATCCCCAGGACAGCACACACACACAACGTATTTTAGAAACACTGGGTCAAACGGTGAGTTGCAAACAGTTCTGAATGCACTTAATAACAGTTCTCTACAAGTTAATTAAGAGATTACTATTGCCAAAAGCAGGAAATATAGGCAAACTACATTTCTTTGTCTCTAAGCAATTATATATATATATATATATTCAATAACTCAAGATAAATTAAAAGATGAAGCTAAATTAGGCAGCTCTGGTTTGGGACACTTTCCCAACAGCTCTTCTGACCGTACTTGGCCCAAAGCCACATCCCACAGACCAGCAGCTCCTCAATCCCACCAGCGGATAAATCCAGAACATCTCCTCAATGATGCTGGCATGCAGAATAGCAAAACCACTGTTGTGACCCCTAGCTTTGGTAAGGTTCACATCATGCGTATTTTAAGATTAGGTGTTTGACAAAGTCTGGATGTATTCAAACACACGTCTCCATCTTCCAAAGATTTAGGTGAAGCAGAATGTCTGACAGCTGCTTACTAGCCCTCTGTTCTGTACTGATTTCCCTGTGCTTTATGTGCTGTGTACTCTTGCCTTTTGAGCCTACAAACATCCTGGTCTGGAGCTTTAGTTTCTTCCTCCTCAAGAAGCACAGCAGTTGGACCCAGGTCAGCTGGCCCTGTTCAGAGGAACCGGCTTCTTGCTCATAGGAGGCTTCCTCAGAGTAATGATCCTTGGGGAAGACCCCCGCAGTCGTTGCTTTGGGGATTTTCTAGCATGTTCTGTGCCCTGTAACACTCGTGCTGCAGAATGCCTCAGGAGCATTCCCAGTTCATTCATAAAAGCATGGAATTTTCAAAGGCATAAAATACTGCTGCGTTTGAAAACGCCACCAGAAGGCTGAATCGTGACACAAATTCAGCAGCAATATGACTGCAATGAGATTATTTATTTCTCCCATTAAATTCTCCCTACAAACCTGTTAGATACATACACATAGGCTCAGGTCTTTGCTCTCGTTGCTGTTTTGTGTGATAGCTGTGCCTAAACGCTGCGGTCCCTCTCCAGGCAGCACTCAGCGCGTTCTGCGCGCCCCCATCACCGTTCCCAGCCTCCCGTCAGCGCCGAGCACAGCGCCATCTCCCGGTTACTCGCAATGATCACAGCAAAAGGCGCAGCTTTAAGCTCGGCTTAAATAATCGTTTACCTGCACACCGCCTTGCTTCCTTTTAATTCTGTGGAGTGTTCCTGCTGCGGACAGGCATACAGGTAACAAACCACCCCTGAACTGATCCGATCAGAGGACGGAAAGGGGGAAAAAAACCAAAGCCCTGTTTGGCTCCAAACGTGGGGCCGATCAGCTCCCGGAGGGGCAGCGCGGACAGGACAGGCGCCGGGCCCACGCCACGTGAGCACGCACGCAGGAGCCGCCGGGTGCAGGTGGGGTCACCCGGCCCAGCCCGAGCTCCGTGCTGCCCTCCCCTGCACTGGGGCGGCTGCCGTAACGAGCAGAGCAGCTCGGCACCGCCGGCTCTGAGGGATTCCCAGCACACAGAGCCCTCTGAAAGCCTCCCTTCTGCACGGCCAATAGCTCAACGGGCAGCCAAGCCCGGCCCTGTCACAGCCTGCCCAACCAGACGGCCGGGCAGCGGAGCGCTCGTTGAATTACACGTTCCTCGTTACCTTACTCCTCCACTATCAAGTGACACCGAGGACGGACCGCATCGCTCCGCAGTCCGTTCGCGGCTCGGTTAGAGGAGCTGCAGGAGGATGGGGAGGAGCGCACGCTGCCGGCGCCTCCCGGCGATGGGCACCGCGGCAGCGCCCCGCTGAGAGCGCAGCCCGCGCAGCGCCATGCCCGCCCCGCAGAAGAAAATCCTCTTCTGCCTGGCTGGGGCGTTCAGCTTCGTGTGCGCCCTGGGGACCGCAGCCGCCATCGGCACCCAGCTGTGGGTGAAGGGAACCATCCTCTGCAAGACAGGCGCGCTGCTGGTCAACGCCACCGGGCCGGAGCTGGAGAAGTTCATCGGGGAGATCCGCTATGGGCTCTTCCACGGCGAGCGAGTGAGGCAGTGCGGGCTCGGGGGGAGGCCCTTCCAGTTCTCATGTGAGTAACAGAGGCGCCTAAATGACTGAATGCTGCTCGGGGCTGGGAGGACCGACCCTGTACCTCACAGGGCTCAACAGGGGAAAAATGCTCTAAAGCCAAATGCTGCTCTTCACCTTTTAGTTTTCAGCTTTAAATTACTTTTTTTTTTTTTTTTTCCTGACACTAGCAAAGCTTGCTAACATTTTCAGCAATCTATGTTTCGATTACAGTCATTCACATTTGAAAAATATATATGCTATTACTTTGAATATTTTTGTTTTCCAATTAATCTTTGTCATCCTCCTGTGTATGTGCCAATGCCACGACCTCTGTTCTGTTACAAAAGACAAACTAAGCTAGCAGGAATCCCACAAAGGAGCTGAGGCATAGGTGCACACTGCTGCTGAAACAAAGCAGCCACAAGTTTGCAGTCTGCAAACAGTACAGACTGAGAACTGCTCACCTGTTACTGGCTGACATTCAGTCAACTGATGTGCAAATAGAGCTTGGTACCCAACATACCAAATTTTACCAAAGATTGTTAGAAATGGTTTCGCTTTACACGCGATACTCATAACCTCTCATCCCTAAGGATAAGGTCGATGGGATGATGCAGGAAAGACAGTTTGCCTTTAGCAGCTCACAGTCACCTCCTACAACATACCCTGCATGCCACCCGCAGTTATTACAAAACACATTTTGGGAGCAATCTGCTCAAACAGCTCCAAGAAGTACTCCGGTGGAGTTTACCCTCACTGTAGCTGTACACTTTTCATCTCTGCTCAGAAGTGTCATCAACCAAAGTTTGTTACGCGCGCATTCACTGCACCAAGCAGAATGCACAAGAGGAGCACACCAACGTCTGCGCTGCACAGCGGCGGCGCGTTCCTGCATGGCTGGTGCCTGCAGTGTGCTTTGTCTGCAGGCTGAGCTGCAGGAGCCCAGCAGGGCAGGCTGTGAGCTCTCACCAACTGGCCATGAGAATGTTGGCATTTTCATTACAGTTTGTTCTCTGATCATCTTCTGTTTAGATTAAAGAGCAAATACAACACTGCTACTCCAGTAGGGCTCAGAGCTCCATGTGCATCCCAGACTGCAGCACGGCCACACAGCAGTGCCATGCGTGGTGATGCTCATCAGTGTGTCTAAGAGAAAAGGCGTATAAAATAGGCCAAGTGATTGAGTTCAGTGTTTGTTCCACTAAACGCTCCCCCCTGACCACTACATCTCTTTTAATTGTGAAATGGATTTGCTCTGCCAGCAAGCTCTGCTCAGCCAGGAAAGGCCTTCTGCCTCATTTACTCCTGCTGCTTCTCATCAGTTTCTAGGTCAGCAGTTCATTTTCTAAAGGTCGCAGGTTTGCACACTAACACAGTATTTCATTCATTACTGGGCATGCTTTTCTTGCAAGATGGTATTGCTGCTGAAATTAATTTTTCCCTGATATGTCACAAAATTGTAGTGACAAAAACTATAAATGCGGGTGCCAAGGGAAAGACCCAGCACAGTGCAGTAACTACTCCTTAAAGAACAAAATCCCATATCAATAAATCGAGTTGTTGTTCTCCATCTCCTCAGCTCATTCCCTTGCTTTTTGGGCCTTCTGCTTCAGATATGATGCATCCCTTGAGCTTTTTACTCACAGACACAGGACAGGAACCCCATCTTCAGGGTGTCCACATCTCCCCTTGGCTGCAGCTCCTGATGGGCACTGCACATAGCAGGGGGTTGAAAGTAGACGGTCATTGTGGTCCTTTGCAACCCAGGCCATTCTATGATTCTATGACTGATTGTATGACTCGCCTTCAGGATGACTTTGGGAGCACAAAGAGAACTTCAGGGCTTCCTGTGTGCCCCTTCAGTGAGATCAGTAGTGGGGGTGGAGGACAGACTGCACTTGGGAAAGCATAGTTTGAAGCGATAAGCACAGATTAGCAGGAAAGCCTGGGCATGACTTCCAAATTAACCTTGCTTAACGTTTATAATATTTTGTAACTTCACTTTTAGTTTTTCCAGACTTGCTCAAGATTATCCCTGCGAGCATCCACGTCAGCGTCATTCTCTTCTGCACAGTGCTGATCATCTTCACGCTGGTGGGAACGGGCTTTTTCCTGTACAATGCCTTCGGCAGCCCCTACGAAACACTGCATGGCCCTGTGGGGCTGTACCTGTGGAGCTTCATCGCCTGTGAGTACCCTCTGCAGGCTGCGCAGCCACGGCACAGGGACCAAACAGAGCGTGAGGGGCGGGCAGGAGGGGCTGGTGTTGCTGCACGGCTTTGTGCACGGCAGAGCAGAGCACGGGGCACGGATGCTGCCCATGGTGTGTCGGCAGCAGGGTGGGTGGGAGCCAACCCCCAGGAGCAGGGCAGTTCCAGCAGCCCAAAGGCCCCAGGGACACCGCGCTGTTCCTGCAGGGACCGCACCGATGGGCATCTTGTGCTCCTTCCAGGTTCCTGCGGCTGCCTCATCATGATCCTCTTCTCCTGCGAGGTGAAGATCCACCACCTCTCAGAGAAAATTGCTAACTTTAAGGAGAAAAGTTTCACATTTAAGACCCACAGTGAACGGTTTGCAGACTCCTTCTGGATCATCCTGGCCTGCTCCCTGGTGCACTTCCTCAACACGCTGCTGATACGCCTGGCCGGGTTTGAGTTCCCCTTCTCTAAACCCAAGGACTCAGGGACAGCCACTGGTGCCGCAGACCTGATGTACTAGAGTCACACAGCGTGAGGACAGAGGTGTTCATCACTGCTGCCCTCAGCAGCCGCCACCCACACCAGCTTTTAAGGAAGTTAAAAACAAGAGGAGGTTTCAGATAACTGTTGTGTGACACACGCAGTAAATAAAAGATAACGTGCTAGTTGATAAACCCAGATCAGAATACCCTTTCTCTCTTGGACTAAAGCCTTACTGAGGCATCTGCTTCTCTTTCTAGAGCTGATCTGAAAAGCAGCTGCTGTGAACAGAACAGAGAACTCAACAGCACAGAGCTGGCGCAGAGGCACAGCAAGGGGATTGCCATGCAGCCACCTCCCATCACCAGCACAGCTTGACCCACTTGCAGCTCTCAGGGAGCCACAGCACAACCTCTGCAGCACTGGGCAGCAGGGAACAGGGCAGAGAGGAGTGCCTGCTCTGCTTTTGGCACCAGCCCTGCCACAGACTCGCAGGGGAAGACAGCATGAGGGCAGGGGATGCCCAGCCCCCGAGTGCCCTGCTGACACCACACAGAGGCATCATTTCTATCCATAAAGAGTTCTGAGCTTTAAAAACCTAATCTTTAACTCCCCAGAGCTCCATTTTGTAGAGCAATCCACACAGCAAGAGCTCTGTGCCTCAGGATAAGGTGCTCTATGCAGCAATATAACACACTCACACTGCTGCACCCCAAGATGAGGGGTGAACCCGGGGCAGAGCAACGTGAGCTCAAACCCAGCAGCGCCCACCAGGGCTATGAGGAGCTGCTGCCAGCAGGCAGCAAGTTGTCACCAAGAAGCACAAATAAACACTGACAAAATGGGCTGAAACGCCACAGCCAGCACACGAATGCTGCAGCAGACCAGGCACTGACAAGGGAAAGCCTGAGAGTCTCCAACACAAGCAGTGATGAAACTTTGAGCAAATGGATGTATTTGCCTCTAAGCCCTTACCTCCCAGTCAGGCAAGGTGCTCCAGCCACTCACCAGATGCACTGTGCTCACCCCCCAGCCACAGGTGCACAGAAGGGCTTCATCCTTCCAGCGCTGCTGCACAGGGTCACCACACAGAGCACTCAGCAGAAGAGGAGCCAGGGGGACCTGCCCAGCTCCCATTTATCTGCAGAGGTCGGCTCCTGCACAGCTGTGTGCCATGAGCAATCCTCTCACAGCCACATGCAGCAGCCCCAGCACGCAGGGCCTGGTTCTGGGAGCCCCAAGCTGCAGTGGTGTGCAGGCTGACCTTGCTGATACAGAGACCCATTTTTATACTTTCACCATGAATGGCAAAACATTCAGTGCTGGCTGCTGGCTCTGCCTGTGCGACGTTTGGCACCACAGCCCTGCTCCCCTGAGCCTCTTACAGAGCAGCTTCGGCCTGGGCTGTGCAATGCACGCCTTGTTCCTAAGCGTGTGCAATGGTGTCTGCAAGGTGCCATGACCACCTACAGTTCATTTATAATTCTCTTCCTAATTAATATGTGTGCCTTTATTAATTAATGACAGTATGTCTTTTTGACACGTAATTTCTACCACATTCCACTGTATTATTTACTAAACCACAATTAATGAGAAGCAATATTCCACCCTCCCTGCTCCTGGTGTTGCATGGATTGTCCTCCTCTGCAGTACTGCTGCCCACTGGTGGGGGGATCAGGCTGCTCTCAGTTCTGTGTCCACCATAGATGCCCCCGCCTGCTCTGAAGGAGCAACATTTGTAAAATAAAGAACTGCACAGACCTGCCTCAGTGCTGACGGGCAACCCACTCCAGTCACATTTGTTGTGCGGTGGAGAAGGGCCCAGCTGCTGGGGAGCCCTTCACAAAGAGGACTTCCATCCCACTCCATCACAATAAAAAATAGCACACAGGTGTGTCTGTACATCTAAGCAGCATTAGAAGTACGCACGGACTGGCTGGGGTGGGAGTCAGGCTCCTCCAGGTGTCGGGTTCTGAGCAGGGAGCACAGAGCGTGTCTGATGCTCATTAAAGTTTCATCATGATGTGACAGCAGCAGGCAGACGAGAGGACGAGGGCTGTGCAGTGGGCAACTGGCTCTGCTCCCCTCTGCTGCACACCAGAGGGTGCCAATGGGGAGCGAGGGCTGAGCACACGGAGCACGCAGTGCACACTGCTCACCCCTGAGCAGACGATGCACGCTGCACACAGTGAGCACACGGTGCCCCAAGCAGCTCTGGATGAGATCTCCAGCAGAATTTCAGATCTGGACAAATGGAGAAAAATTTTCAGTTTCTGTGGGTAAGTTTTTTAGTGCGCTTCATTATTATCGCATTCTAAATTCCAGAGTTCTAAAATGTTGTTAATTTTAAGATGACTTTTTGTGATGCGTTGTTATTCTTACTAATATTATGTTGTATATTGTTAGTAAAAGCAGCAGCTTTTACTCGCTTTCTCTCCTGCAGTTCTCTTCTGGCTGCCTCCCATTTCCAAAGGCATTACAACACCTCTATTTTCTTTTAACGTGCATCTCCTTTCCCTTTGCAGCCGGGAAGGCAGTCAGACCAGCCCCCAGGTGGGTGTTTCTCTCTCGGTTGTGCTGTGCTCTCATCCCCAGGCACTGCAGTCCCTCTGCGGTGCCCACACCGACATGCTCATACTCCTCTGGACACGTGTGTGTGCTTCATGTTTTCTAAAGGGCCGTTTTCCCAGTCTGAACCAAAGCAGTGGGGCAAACGTAAATTACCCTTTCTGACCCTGCTTAACAGTTCTTGTGGCCAATTTAAGAACATGGGGGAAAAAAGCTATGAAATGAAGAACTACTCAATGTGTTTGGACCCTGCCCTGTGCTCAGGCTGACAAACACAGACATTCACATCCTGAAGTCCAAACATTCTTCCACACCGTAATCATTCACTTCTGTGGGAGTTGTTTTCAGCAGTGGGAACCAGTTGGAAGTGATGCACAGACATGTATTTACCCGACACAGATGTGCCTGAGATGCACACCCACATGGTTCATACGCAGTGCAATGACTCAGGACTGCAACTGATTTTTGGAAGTGAACACCTCACACCTCTTAGAGCAACCATTTGTAAACGAAACCTGATTGAATTTGCCCTGTTAGAAGCAGGAGGAATATCCGCGGTCGCTGTTGGTTTGTTAGCACTCCAAAACACTGCAGAGAGTTCAGCTGCTCAGCTTCGTGCCCACAGGTGGCAGCTGCTGGTGAAGGGCAGTGAGGGCTGAGCACAGCACAGGAGGGCAGGGAGCAAGCAGGAGCTGGGAGGAGGGAGCCTGGAGCAGTGAACCCCCAGCAGCGGCTCTGTATCCCTGCAGGGACCTGCGGGCTGTGGGCACGGAGCAGCGAGCACCACAGGAGCCCTGGAGCCGCGTGTGACACCTGCGGAGCCCCAGCATGCGGGGCGGCCCATCTCCATGGACGTGGCAATGGTGAGCAGCACGGGCAGCATGGAACCTGACCCGGAGCTGGCAGTGTGTGAAGGCTGCGGGCTGCTGCTGTTGCTTACAGAGTTACCATCATTACTTGTGTATGAGGCTCCCAAAGAGGGTGGCTGTAACACATACTCATAATTCCGGTTGCTGCCAGGTATGCCCCTGCCTCCCAGGGCTTTCCTAGGTACCAGCTGTGGGAGGCAGGAGGCTCAGCAGCAGGAGAGCACTTCTAAGCTGCCAAATACCAAAAGGTTCTGAGACTGTCAGTGCTTGGTGCCTGGGCCCCAGAACCTGACCGGTGTTCTGTGGGCGATGGGTCCAGCACCAACCTTATGTCTGTGACCTCTGACACAACCCCACCACTGTGGTATAAATGTAATAAAAAGCTCAGGGTGTGAAACTGGAGGTGAAACCTTGCAGGAGAGGTGGTGCAGACCATAACCAGGGAAGTCCCATCCCGGAGAGAATCAAGCACAGCCCTCGCTTAGGGTCAGAGCCACAGCTCCCCCAGCCCGTGGCCAAGCACAGCCCCACAGCTCCCCATCCCCACAGCTCCCCCAGCCCCAGCCTGTGGCCGAGGACAGCCCACAGGACGCAGTGCAGGCAGCATGCAGGCAGGACCATGACATGCACTGTGCAGCACAGTGAGGTGCAGGCGCCCATAGGGGCTGTAGCTGCTGTTTACCTGCAGGCACTGCGGACACTGCTGCTCGGGAACGCATCATGCGCCTTCAGCCAGGACTGGACACGGGCACACTTCAGGTTCTGTGAGCCGCACTCTGACCTGGCCTATGCCCTGGAGGCTGAGAAGGTAATGCTGCAACATGACCCACAGCCACGCTCCTTCCTGCAGCGCTCAGCAGGATGGGTGGCTTCGGTGCAGATGCTGGAGCAACTTTGGGTGGAATGGCTGCTCTGCAGCAGCAGCAGCGCAGGTGTGAGCCGGAAACACGGCGGCATTGCACGCTTGCAGCAGCTGGCTGCTGAGCAGCACAGACCTGCACTGCCCACCTGTCCTCGTGCAGCTCCTGCCTCTCACTGCCCCACCTGGAACCCAAACGGGTGCAGCCAGCATTCCGGGTGTTGCAGCCGCCCCACAGAAACCCAGCCCCACATGGCACAGCATCAGAGCCACCGTGGGCACATCTCACACAGAGATTTCTTACTTTTAGGCACATCAGATATTTTCAATTTACTTTCCCATGTACCTCAGGAGAAGTCATGGGCCCTCCTGAATTACTGGGGAAAGCAGAACAGCTCCCCATGGTGCAGCCAGCAGCACAGCCTGGAGCTGCGCTTTGTAGGGCTGCACCACGTGCCAGATGAGCTCATGGACACTGCCAGCTGCTTTCTTTGTGTTTCCAGGGAGGAACAAGAGCCATTGTGATGGCTGTGCAGGCAAACATCATTAAATACCTGCTCTTCATGAGGAACACAGAACACACTCACCTGGAGAGGTAAGCAAAACCATATCCTTGCATTGTTTGGACTAACAAAACCAGCACCAGCCTCTAAGTTGTACCAGATGGAACATAACCAGGTTTGCAGCTGCAGATGGAGATCATGCCTGGCTCCCAGGCAAGGTTTTACCTTCTTTATTGATGTAGGAGTGAGGCTTGCTGCCTCAGTGCAATCTCTGGTGCCATGGTTGCAGCCCAGTGTCAGGCCCCACCTGGGGACTCAGCATCCTCAAGGATGTACCCACAACTGGTGGCTCTATGGGGCCGGGCGGGTGATGGGGACATGGGGACATGGGCACAGGGACACAGGGACACAGACCCCTGCTGCCCCTGCCCACACCTGTCTGATGTGCTCTGCTCTGTCCCACATTGCAGACTGCACAAAATCAGCCAGAAGGAGCAAGGAGAGGCCCTGGCTGCAGCCCTGGCAGACAGCCTGTGGGCAGCGGGCGACGGCCGGAGAGCCACTGTCTGCATCCTCGCTGCGGCCGCCCACTGCTCCCCTCCTGCAGGCTACAAAGCCGACAGCTTCACTGAGCGGGTGGGTATGGAAATGCTTCCTGCAAATATGGCTCTTAAAAGACATTTGGCCTGAACTGTCTACAGACCAGAAACAGCTCATGAGCCTGCTCCTAACTTACAGCACATAGCACCACCTAAGAACATTGGAGCCATGTCCAGGTGGAGCTTGGCAGGTGTTCCTGCCTCCTTGTGAAGGTGTGACTTCCTTGTAGAGTTGATTTGTTAAACTCTGGTCTTTCTTCTCCCTTTAGAAGAAGGAATAAGTTGACTTCCAGCCTTTCCTTAAGCTCTATCCGTTATCTGTTGGCATAAAACTGAACTCTGCTGTTCAGGAAGGGTCAGCGTGGGTTCCTGTGTTTGCCTTTCGTTTGTCCAAAGGAAACACTAAGCTGAAATTTCCACTTCTGGATGTACCGTCTCCTTTGTGGCTCCTCACCTCTCACTCCTGCTCTACAGATCCACCTGTTCGAGTTCCCCGAGAAAGCAGCAGCTCAGGAGTTCATCTTTGACCACATTGGCTGTGTATGTATGGAGTATCATCTCCGTTCTGAGTTTTTTGGTTGGCAAACAGGCAGCATTTTGTACGTGGTTTAAACAGGTTTCTTGTACCTTTAGCCCAAATCTGGAAAAACATGCAAAAATAGGTTGGTCAGGAACTGGAAGTTTCTTTTATTTCATCTGATTTTAATCAGCAAATAGCAAAGCCTTCCCAGAGTAACACCCTGTTCACTCGGCTCAGTGTATTTACCCAGCATTGCAGTTAAGCAGAGGAATTGCTTTAATTAAGCATCACACAGTTACTGTAATTTCCTCTCTGATTACTTCTTTCTTTTTTCCAGTTCAGAGATGAAGGAAGTCACGGACTGATCCTGTTTTTATACAGTTTACTTTTCTCTAGGACACTGAAAAGGTATTTTCCTTTCTAAAATTATTTTTGCCATTTTCCTCCGATGAAATTGTCCTTTTCTTCTGTTACTTCAACGCTCTGCCCTGGGCTAGCGAGGAGCAGCTGTGTGTCGAGGCAAAAGGTGCTGCTGTCATACAGCATTACTGCGTGTGCTTGTGCTGATACCACTGGGAGCAGCAGGGAGGGAGCAGCTCTGTGTGCAGCTCTGTGTGCAGCTCTGTGGGCAGCTCCATGGGCAGCTGCAACTGCACACACAGGAGGAGCATCACAGAGCGACAGAACACGAGCTGTCCCACAGACAGCCAGAATTACAGCCACGCTGATGAATTTACAAAAATCACGAAAGTATCACTGTGTTAGCAGAGGAAACTGATAGAATCTTTCTCAAACTGATGTAAAAGGATTTGTGCAGGGACACTGCAGATCAGCAGCTGAGCTCTGTGCCCCTGTCACACCCACTGCTCAGCAAAAATTGCACTGCTTCTGCAGACAGCTGCATTTGGGTCAAACCTGGGTGTAATTGAAGACTTTGACAACATTTGTACTGCAGAAGGTCTGAATCCGACCCTAAATTTGAACTTCAATAGAACAAGGCCAGAAATACAAGAGCTCAGGTGGAGCACGAGACCACTGCACTGGGATACTGCTGCCTGCCAGTGGAAAACAAAAAACAAAAAACGAAACAACTGTGACATTTCTTCCTGCTTTCCTTGCTGCTCACACGCGATGCTCACAGCTCCCTCCACCACTGATGTGGGACAGCAGCGCTCTGTGTTTGGCTGCGCAGGGTCGCGGAGGAGCTGGGCGGCACAACGCCGCGGCTGTTGGAGCGCAGCTCTGGAAACGTCGCGTGCACGCAGGTAGGATCAGCCCGCTGTGCCAACGCACCTCTTACTGCTGCTGCCCTGTGTGATTCAGGACAGCACCGCCGCTTGTTCGTCGGATAAAGAGGGTGGGCTTTGCACGAGGGCCGCGGGAAGGCGGTGCGGCTCCGTGCCGACGGCGGCTCCTCCCGCAGGCGGCGCTCCTGCTCGTCCTGGCGGGCCGCGCGCAGCCCGGGCGGCGCAGTGAGGTGGGCTTCCTGCGCTGGAGCGGTGAGGAGGCCGAGCGCCGCCTGGCCCCGGTGAGCCCCCCGACCCGGCCCCGCATCGCGTTGTCGGCCCTCGTGCTTTGCCCTCGTGCTTTGCCTCGCCGGGCGTCCGGAGGCGAGCCTCGGGCTCCCGGCACCGACGCGGCCCTCGCATCCCTTTAGGCGAGGCTTTCCGCCGGCACGCGCCGTGCAGCTTTGCCTCCGGGCGGCGCTGAGCGCTGAGCTCCCTCCTCCATCCGCCCGCCCGCCCTGACCCCGTCCTGGCAGAGGCACCTGGGGCCGGGCACGGAGACCCCAGGGCCACGGTGCCCTCGGGGCTGCTGGCCCGGCACCCCTGGCCGGGGCTGCTGTGGCTCATTGTCTGCCACGTGTGACCACCGCACAGATACAATAAGGGCAAATGGCCACGAGGCACAGCTGGCACAGCAGAGCCGACGCTCCTGAGAAGCACTGGCAGCGCTGAATGCCCACCGACCGTTCTGCCCCCAGGTTGGCAGCATGCTGAAAACTCCCAAGTTCCCCATCTGGCTGTGCAGCATCAACGGGACTCACAGTGTCCTCTTCAGCACCAACCGGCTGCTCCTGTCCGACTGGAAGATGGAGCACATCTTCCACCTGTATTTCTACAATGGGCAGTGCAGAACAGCCCACCTGACCATAGGTGTGTGGCCCAGCTCACCCCCCCATGGGCGCTGCGCTGTGGGTGTCATGTACAGATGTGGGCAGGACTGCACGTGTGCACAGCTCTGCATCTCCAGCCCCACACGCAGCCCATGATGCATACATACAGCACACGTTTGTGTTTTTCCACCCAGGAGCAAAGTGTCCCCAGGCACCCGCACTTCCCCAGAGCCCCACACACCCTCAGACCCGCATTTCACTTCCAGATACCCACTCGCATCACTGGGAAGAGGGCCGCAGCGAGGCTGCGAGCAGCCCAGGGAGGAGGGCTCCATCGCTGGAGATGGCCATCAGGACCAAGTGGCCGGGGGCGGCTGTCAGATGGAATGGCATGCAGCCCTTCTTCTGAGCTGCCCCCCACCCCACCACCACCAGCACCAGCACCAGGAGCAGGGCCATCGCTGGCACTGCCACAGCCCTCAACCTGAGCCGGCGGGGAAAAGGAAACAGCATGGCAACGCGGTCATTTCCTCCCAGGCAGAGATGTTTGAGAAATAAAAGCGTGTCGTGAAAGTGCTGACCACAGTGTGAGGTTAAATAATATTAAGCGCTGACAATACTGTGGGCATCACAATCATTTGGCCTGGTGTGAGCACCCAATTCCACTACTTTCAACAGGCGAGGTTTGCTCCCAGCCCTCCATACCCAGCCCTCTCCTGCTGCCCATGGCAGGCACAGCCCTGACCCGCAGCATCCTACAGGCAGCCCGGTGCTGCTTCCACCGTGCAGGCCATGCACACCAACATGTTACAAACTGTTCTCTGCTTCCTTTTTTAGACCTCATCTGAAAAAGCTGTTAGTCGTACCAAAAATGTGTGCCGTAATGACAGCTGTCTTGAGAATAAACCTTCCTGCGAGCAACCCACAGATTCAGACCCCTGGACGAAAAAAAGGAAAAAAAAGAGGGTGGTCAGAACCAGCCTGTGATGGTGCTGGATGGGGCCATGAGCCGGCGGGGCTCTGCACTGCTCCCTGCTCCCCTTCTGCAGTTTCTGCTCAGGTCAGAGCTCTGCCACCGCCCCAAGTGTGCCACATCCCTGCAGCAGAGCAGAGGGCACTGCAGCCCCTGGTACCCGCAGTCCCCAGGGCCACCACTACCAGAGCGCAGCCTGCCCGGCACAGAGCTGCGGGGCCGGGACCCTGGGGCATCGTGCAGAGGCATAAGGCAGGGCAAGCTGCAGCCTGGTGCCCACCAGCAGGTCACAGCCCGGTGCCCACCAGCAGGCTGTCCCTGCCAGGGCCGTGCAATGGTGGCTGTAGCAGGACAGGCAGAGCCGGGGCAGGGCAGGCAGGGCCCCGGTGAGTCACATCTGGTGCGCAGTGCTGCCATGCGTGGGGAGGAAGCACACCACAGCCCAGGGCAGCCTAGGGTGGTTTCTAAGGCAGGTCAGCTTATTCATGCTTGAGAAGACCTTGACAAGGTAAGGAAGTCAGTGTTCATGCTAAACAGAGCATACTTATTCTACCTGAGGAATACTGGCATGTGCTCACACAAACAGTGGATTAATACAGCACAGAGCCATGAAATAGATGCCAATCAGGCTTGGCTAACCAGCACTGAGGGGCGTGCTGCACGGCCAGGCATGCTGTGTGGTAGTGCCAACTAAATGGGTTCCCATGAAGGTACAAAGGTGCCAAAGAACAGCATTCAGAGCTGTGTTCCAGGCCAGTGCAGCAGCTGCCCTCTGGCACACCAGCAGTGGTCAGAGCACAGCTGGCAGCACTGGGCCCCAATGCCACGTCCTGCACACACAGCTGCAACGAATGCATGCATGGTTTCTAAAGAAAGAATCAGGAACAGAAATGTGCTGCACCAGACTGCGGAAGCAGCTCCACTGCCTCCCTCGGGGCTTCACCCTTCCTCCCCCTGCCCCTCTGTCTGTTATAACCTCTGTGCAGTGCAAGGCTAAATTTAAGATGCAAGTTCCCCTCAGTGAGAAGGAAGCCCTTTCTGCAAGCTAACAGCACACTTACAGATGCTTTAAAAATAAGAAGCAATAACAGCAGTCTGGCTGTTGGTTAAACTTAGATGGAAAAAGCAAACAAACAAAACACAGAAGAAAGAGAGGACAGCTCAGCAGCTCCTTGCAGGGCCCTGCATTCATAACAGATCTCAGCTGCAGATTTTCCTTTCTAGCCCAGAAATATCTTTGCAGAAGATGCACAGACCTGGCACAGCCCACACACCGGGGTGCTTTGGACACATGGGGATAGGTGGGGTGGGAGCTGCCTAAGAAACTGCCTGAACCTCAGTGAGGCACGTGGGAAACAAACCCAGACATGTGGGTGAAACTCATAGCACAGCATGGCACCTCATGTGAGTCAGCCTCAGAGACAGCGAGCATCGGAGCCTCGTGGCAAGCTGCAGCACTGCACCTGGGAGGGAGAGGGGCACCAAGAAAAGGGATTCCCTTTCAGAAATGGCTTCTGAGTGCCCTGCGGGGCCTCCGGAGAGCTTTGCCCGTACCTCCTGCACACAGCAAAGTATCCCAGCACCGCTGCCGCTCCCCTCGCAGCCCATCCTTCTCCTCCCATCCCCAGGAGCTCTGGAGAGTGGTGGGAGCACTGCCCAGCTTCGGGGTCCTGCCCACCCTCAGGGCCGTGCCCATACTTTCAGGTGCCGGGTTTGTGGGACTCGGAGATCAGAATACAGCAGACTGTTATCAGATATTTATTGCTGCCCCTCGTAGTCTCAAAATGGCTTTACAAACTGCAAGGATCACTCTCCATAATTCCTCAGAGTACAAAACCAAATGTATCAGACAATAGCTGTATGTTTTTCTCCCTTTTTTAGTGTGCTCTGAGCCTGACTGTATATGGAGGGCAGATTTTTTAAACCACAATTAAAAAGCCAATGCCTGTACACAAAACAAGAACTGCACCACGTGGGCAGTGATGCCCCCGCAGCAGCCCCAGCCCCTCCGAGGCTCTTTGCCCCACACCCTGGCTCTGCAGAGCACCCCTCTGCTGGAAGCACAACTGCTGGGCAGGGGGCACGAAACCCAGGCACGTGCCCGACAGCTTTGTGTGTGTTGCTGCTGTACATTTAACTGTAGGCTCTAGAGAGATAAAAAGAGTGGAATAGCCACATTCTAGCACATAAATATATATATAAAATAAAGTATTTTAAAATTACTCTGTGGAAAGTGCAGGAAAAGAAGAAACACCTTTTTTTTTTTTTTTTTTTTGGATAAACCTCCACCCTGCTCCAGTCCATTTGTGAAAAGGCCGCTGTTTGCTCTTCCCCGTACCGCAGAACGCACAGCAGATCACAAAACAAGCAGGACGATTCTTCCCTGGGTAAAAATCAAGAAACTTTCAGAAAGTCAGGGACTGGGGGAAGCTTAATGAACGGCGATCAGAACACCACAGCTGAAACTCCAGTGTGTGCACGAGATCTTCTGCTTTGAAGCAAAAAGACACACAGAGCTGTGCCGGGGACCCCGCAGCCCCACGTGGGTTCCTCCCAGGCCGGACAGGACAAGCACACATTGCCACATTCAGAAACTGCTGACTTCTGTCTGCCTCACTCCGCTGTTTCGCTCCGTTTGTTTGGGGTGGGGGTCAGAAAAGGCCTCAGCGCCCCGGGATGAAGAGAGAACCTCGGGGCCCCTTCATTCTCAAAGCTCCAAAGAAGCACTTCCACACCTATGGCAAAGACTCTCAAGAAAGAACGACGCACAGAAAGCTTCTGAAGTCTGAATGGCTCTGCAGCCCTTGTCAGCAATGTAACTCTAGAGGACGGAGCACGGCTGGAGCCACCCCAGGTGCAAGCTCACCCCACACCACGGCTCATTTTGGCCTCTCCATGCACACGACTTCAGCGCATCTGAATGCACTGTGCATTGCTGAGTGGTTTCTCCAAGTACCAAAGGAAAAATAAAAGCAGAACTGCAGACAAGGGATTGTTCTCTGGTACCTCGGGCTGCGTCATGCAAGGCTCATTGGTGTTTCACATGGAAGAGAAAAGGGGAATTCCGCTAACACTGCACCTTGTTTAACGCGAGCGCGAGCAGTGCCTTGATGGAACTCCTCACAGGGCCCGCGGCCACCAGTGAGTCACAGACGGCGCGCGCCCGAGGAGCGATAACAGCACCATTCTGGGAAGTGCTGCCACACCTCGGAGGAAAGCATTGCTCATTTAAGGACAAGAAGAGTCAAGTCACAAGCAGAACTCTTGGGAAAACGCTGTATGTCATCTGCCCGATTCGCTGACGGGAAATAATCTGCAACCAAGCCCTGCTCATGGCCGCCCCGTCCGCTGAGCTGCTCAGCGGCACCACGCAGCGCTTTGTGCGCCCGGAACCGCATCCAAGCCCCGCAAGGACAGCGTGCAAGAACAGCAGCCGGCACGGCAGCACGCAGCTGCAGCCCCGGCGCTGCCTTCTTCAGCCCTGCGGGCAAATGAAAGGGGCGCGGGGACATCCCCATCCTCGGGCTGTCCTCACTTCTCCACCGTTACCAAAACGGAATTAAAGCGGTGTTTTATTGTCAACGTTCTTTTATGCGGGGGATGAAAACGGCCCCACTTCTTCTACCCGACCTCCACCCCTAAGCAGCGCCGCAGCGCCTGCCACGGCGTTCTCGTCCGCGCAGCGTTCCCGCACGGACCCATCTCTCATCGCTCCGTCTCGGTTCGGCTCCCCGCACCGCTCTCACGCACGCGTACGGGGAACCGCGCCGCTCCGCCACCGCTCGCGCTCAGCACGGCGGCTCAGCGCTCCGCACGAGGGCCGGCGCGGGCTGGCCGAGTTCGGGCCCGCGGCCAGGCGGGTAACGGCCCCCGTGGGCTTCCTCGGCCCCGCGGGGCGTCAGCGCCACCGGCGCCCGCTCCTCCCGGCGCGGCCGGACCCGGAGCACCGCATTCGGTTACCGCAACCCCGGGACGGTGCCGCCGCGCCGCATTGCCGTCCGGCAGCGCGGGGTGACGGGCGGGGGGCGCGGCGCGGAGCCCCGGCACGGGCCGCCGCCGACCGCCCCCGGGGCGCGCCCGCTCCGTCCCGGCACCGCCCATCCATGCCGGTCCGCAGCCCCCGCCGCCCCGCACCGCTCCCCGCCCGCGGAGCCGCCCCGCCCGCCGCCCGGAGCATGCTCGCTGCGGCGGGGCCGGGGCGGAGGCTGCGCGCGGCCGCCTCTTGCGTCAGCGGCGCGTTCCGAGCGGGCGCGTTGGGTCCCGAGGGCCGCGGCCCGATGGTGGCGGCCGCGCGGCGCCATGAGCCGCCCGTCCTCCGCCGGGCCCGGCGCTAGCAAACCCTGCGGCAAGCAGCCGCCGCCGCACGCCCCCGCCCCGGCCGCCGCCGCACCCGCTCCCGCCGCCGCCGCCATCGCCGCGTCCGGCGCCGGTTCCTCCTCGGTGCCCGCCGCCGCCGCCGTCCTCTCGGGGCCGGGCGGGCCGGTGTCCCCGCAGCATCACGAGCTGACCTCGCTGTTCGAGTGCCCCGTGTGCTTCGACTATGTGCTGCCGCCCATCCTGCAGTGCCAGGCCGGGCACCTGGTCTGCAAGCAATGCCGG